GGACTGGATGGAAGAAGCGGAGCGGTGGTCAGTGTATGGTGTGGCGTCATAGGATGAAGGGTAGTTGTATTAAGGTACCATCTATTGGTTCATCGCGACTCCCTGGGTGAGGTCCGAGAGATCTTCTTTCGTATTTATCCACCTCCCTTTGCTTCATCTCTTCATAATCTTGTTACGTTAATTTGTGTGGTACATTTCTTGTTGCCCTCGCTCTAACACGTTTATGTTTTAATAATTAGAATATCAATAGTAATGACGAAACATCACAGATGAATCACATCAGCTTCCTTTATTGATATTATTTTGTCAAATTTTTGTAGACGCAAGTTATCATAATCGTTATTTTCCCTTGGGTTTCTAGTGGAAGCTAGGAACTCAGTATCTCGTCACCGTTACACTCCCTTTCCACAGTCTTCCCCTTTAACCTGGCTCCAAAACTGCTCACAAACTTTCATTCCTTCCACTCAACGGCCCGACCTGGCACGTGATGTCTCCGAATGCTCTCCTCAGTGTGTGTCCAATCCAATGCAGTCCAATCCATCTCCACCCCCTTCTGAATATTTGTTAGGCAATGGTTTCTTGGTTGGTTGGTTCGTTGACAGGTCAGAGTGAATTCCTCATTGCTCATTCTTTCCCACCATCTCATCTAATCTGATCCTATCTGATCTGATCTCGTCTCATCTTCAGTATCGAGTGAGCGTAGGTGGCAGCTGTTCATGTATGTGTGTAGTTTGTTGGAGATGTTTTTCGTAACACGCCAAGTCTCTCAAGCATCACACAGAAGTAAGCACTGACTTATTTGACTGAGTCAGTGTTGCAAATCCACACCTTGGTGTTTATGATGAATGCAGTTCAGTTGATCTCCACTCTGATTTCAGAATAATTAAGGCCTGCTTTTCCTTGTTTTCCTCATACTGGCTTTGACATCGTCATCTGTGCCTGTTCTGCCTGCAGTTGAAAGGGGACGATGTTGCTTAGGTGGGTAGGTGAAAGAGACAACCTCCTTCACATTTCTCCTCTTCACGGCGATAGGTGTTCGTTGTTGTTGTTGTTGTTGTTATTAATGTTGTTGTTGATCGGGTATCTCCATCACCTCTGTCTTCTCTACGTTCATCTGATGGAAGTCGTGTCTTCCTTCACTGCCTTGTTTCGCTTCACCTCGCCTCGCCTCGCCTTGTCTTGCCTCTCCTCTCCTCTCCTCTCTTGCCAACTTGTTGGTTTTCGCCTGTAGATCTCTGAATTTGTGGGACAAGACATCAGACATAAATCATCATGGGTGAACTCGAAATCTTCTTCTGGAGTGTTTTCATCTGTCAAACAGTCAGCGTATGTCCCTCTTCTCGATCCTCACAGTTTTTTCTTGCATGATCCAGTTGAATCCAGTCCAGTCGACCAAAATGAGGAAGATCATCGGTGATTGTAGGCGCCAACCTTGTCTTAGTCCTTCCTGTCTGCACTTCACTTCACTTCAAAGGTATCACTGAGCTTTCCATTATGAATTATTTCACACGTGCATCTTCATATTGCATATAGTTGCTGTTGAATAAGGTTGATAAAGTTTTGTTGCACTCACTGTGTAGTGTTGAAGCAGTTGCCAAATCACTTCTCGGTTGTGGTTTTTGAAGGCCTTTTCAGAGTCGATGATGTTGAAGTGTGGGTACAATGGACTACCATTCTATGCTGTACTCTATGATAATACGTAGACGTAACTGACTGCTTCAAATTTTTTTTACAGCTTGGGACATTCATCCTACTGAGGATAACACCCATACCCTCCACTTGCCTCCGTGTACTCTTCAACTTTGAATGACTTGGGTTAGATAGACCATACTAGGATTTTGAATAAGTTTGACTTTCTCTCTTAAAATTTTGCTACTTTCCTCGTGATTTGTTTGGTTTCAGTGTATATGAGACTAGACGGTGATGGGTTCGATCTCATAGTTAGTAGGTTTAAAATGCGGGATTTTAAAAGGTCACCCTAACCCTAACTGTTGAGATAACTAATTAAGATTCTTTTTACCTAGTTGTACAAGAGGTGGCCGTCATGCCCAGTTAGTTAATGGATAACGCTTTTGCGTTTTGAAGTTATGGATAAAAGTTTAAAGTCTAATTGGGAGAACCATAACTCACTAGTGTGAATTACATTCAGCTGATGAGTGCCCAAAATGACGAAACATGCGTCGTAAGATCAATATAAAGTCAATAATTGTAGTTCTGAAAATCAATACAACAGTCACCTGACAGAACTAGACAGCTGACCAAATTTTTATTTTGAGGGTTCGAATTCTACCGTGGTGCAAATTTTCTTTTCACCTTCAATAATTACCTAGTGTCAGTAATACCAGTCTGCAAAAACCATAGCTATCTCGGATAATCAAAATGGTAATCAGTATGACGCTCCCCGACTCATTCAAAATTAGTTAGATTTCAAGTGAGTTGGAAGTCCTGAATTGGCTGGTAGCCAAATGGTAGTAAAGCTTCACGAATTCACGTGGTAGTCGGGCAAATCAACCCATGATGATTGAAATGAAATAAAAACCTGGTCAGCAGTTCGACTTCGTAGCTAAGTTGGTAGAGCGTCGAGCCGGGAACCTGATGGTAGCTTGTTCGAATCCCGCTGCGGTCCAAATTTTTGTATTTTGAGGTTACTGGGGTTTTTTTAATCTTTAACGCGGTGTTGTTGAGTAATCCCTTACTAGAACGAAAGAGTTATCATATCACATGATCACAGGAATACCTGATTAAGGCTATGGTAAAGAGAGTGTATTCACACATTTCTTTTGAGTACAAAATTAAGTCTACAGCACTTATGAGTTGCTAAAACTTCGCCCGTAGACAGAAGTGTCACATCTACATCCCATTTGAACAGTTTGGTCAAACTTTCTAGACGACCATGGAAGAGGTTTTTGGAGGAGTTGAATATTTACAGCCTACGAGGTGTCGACAGCTAAGTTGAAGATAGTTTTTTTCTCGCCTTTGAACAACCAAACTGGGTAGTGTTCGCGAGAGCATTTTCAAGTGGGTGCATAACTCACCCAACGTACTCACCTCCACAGGAGTATGTGGACTTGTAAAGACGCCATGAAAAGGCACAATATGACAACTTTCACTTCATGCACTGTCATATCACCTGTTGAGATGAGAACACAATAGGGAGGTTCCCAGCATAGAATGTTCTATTAAGCGACTATGACATGAGTTAACGAAAGATGTCCATAGAAATATTACCCTTGAATCTGAAGTATTTTCTTCGAAATCTGGGTTCTTTGAAGGAATTCTAACTCTTCAATCATAGAGATTACTCTTCCTATTGAACGGAATCCAACTTAGAAATCGGTCATTTACCTGTTTCAAAGGATTTTTCTCGATCTATGAATGGAACTATCATACCTCCTTCGGAGTTTCATATCAAGAAAATGGAACGTCAAGTTTGATTGAATCAGCTTGCAGTGTAGGCGAAATTCGACTGAAAGATGCAGGTGGTTGATATTTTGTTTCTAATGAATTGGGTGAGCCTATCTTCACGCTTGAAAAGACTATCCCGATACATTTGATGCAGTAAAAATGATTTCATTTTCTTTTGAAGTAATCGATTTAGTACATGATTGAATTGTCAGTTTCGACGGGCAGATGACTATTAGCGGACTCGTCAGCTGAACCACACTGAATGATTTCACTACCTCTCAGGCTCGAACCCTGTACCATGACAAAGATCTAAACTTCTTTATATCTACTAGACTTTCAACGAACACAAGTATATTTGAATTTTTTGGGGTGGTTTAGTGATTTTTCAAGTTGATATTCATCATGGAGCGATACCAGTTGAAGGAACATTGAAAACTTGGGAGCACTTGACAACTTTTTCTTCCTAGTATGATACTTATCCATTACTCCAGGACCTCCAGGTTCCATGGCCAGGATGTTATCATTCAGTTAGCCACTGGGTCGGGATCCAATGGTCCCACCCGCCCCCCCCCACCCAGTTATCCTCACGGTCACCAGATTTTTGCCCAAAGTATATTTCCCCAATGTTGTAATCCTCTCCAGCGATATGTAGTTGCCTGGGTCAATTGATTTGATGTTGTAATCCTTTTAAGTCCATCTTTCTGTTCTAGTCAATATGATAAGACTTACCTAATTCTGTGTTGTATCTTGTAGTAACATGACGTAGTGCATGTAGAACATCATTAAAATATCTGCACAGTTACATTTGTAGGACTTCTAGGTCATATATATATATGCAATATGATATGACAGACACATGTATGCATCCAGACATGTCCACATGTCTATTAACGAATAAGCTAACGAAGCAGTTAAAAGGTGGATAATAGACATACAGACATACATAGTAATCCGAAGAATTTTATTGGTCGACAGCTTAGCCAGTCGATGCAATTCATACACACAAACAATGACGATTAATGTAATGAAGTGTACATTGTCCGTCTGTCTATCAGAATCTTGTCCAATTCAACTTGACCTCATGCAATGAAGAGTAATGTGCGTATGTCTAGAATGAGACTATGATGTATGTGTGTGTGTGTGTGTGTACCATCTAGTATCAGCTCCATAAATTGTCTCCTGGCTCATACTGACGCACATACAAAATAACATAGTCACATCATTATACAGTGTCACCGCAGATATATAACATAAACATAAATTATCAAGTTTACACACCTTGAAATTCCCTTCTTGGTACAGTGGAGACCTTACATCAAACAGATACTGCTAATACTACTCATAACAGTGTTGGTAGTAGTAATAATAATAATAATCATAAAACAGGTCAGTATACCATAAACGATCAAGTTACAGAGAGAAATATCCACTGTAAATTATCATTATTATTATAAATTAATTTCACAAGAGTCTGGAGTTACTTTGTATTCATATTCAACAGACAGAAAGTATTAAAAATAACAACCATCTTACAATTTTATTCAAATTAACCACCCCTACTGGAGTAGTAAAACGAATATAAACAAACGAAGAGAATGGGATCTAAACTATCGTGTATTTCTAAACAGAATGAGGTGAGTCATATACGTTTTTAAAAAGATAACCAATTTAGTAATAATCGATAATGTTCCCACTGGGTAAGCATAAGTTTATCTCCCCATCTCCCATCTATCCCCCATCAGGAGACACAGAGTTAGGCATATTTATGATGACGAGGTCAATCGACTGATCACATTTATTGATTTATTCCCCAACTGAGAGATGGTACTAGCCCTGAGCCGTAAAACTAAACAAAAATCACACGACGGAACATACGATAAACTAAATGGCTACCTCCGCAAGGTCACCGAAGTCTGATCAACCAATAGGATTTAATTCATTATTTTATCATATGTTCTCAGTATGGTATCACATGAATTCCAGGATATGGTCTGATGGACTAATGTTGTTCACTGAAGATGAGGGTTCGAACCCCTGACCTTCTAGTAGGTGTCCCAGTGCTTCAGCACCTGAGCTACTAGATGTTAACCTCTCTTCAATCACTAAAGATTTGGCCCGACTGCCATTTAGACATGTCCATTCAATGCAATCGGTCTGGTTACACACTCAGGTTACTTCGCTCGAAACCTGCGGGAACCGAGGCTTTTATTCCACCTTCGACGAATTACTTGTGCTAAATAAAATAAACTGTAGGTTATCAAAAAGTGTCTACGTTGAGTCAACTAAATCTGACATGAAAGTGAACTTATTTGAACGACCTTAGTATTTTGAAAATGGAGGTATTTAGTGTTCCATGGGGTCGTTAGGGGATAGATTGCCTAACTTTAACGCTTTTAAAGTTCAGAGTCACGATATTCTTAACGATTAGAATCTTTTCCAGTAGTGGCTTTATTTTCTCCTTGATAATACTACTCCAAAATGTCGAATGCCTTTCAGAACAGCTTCTAAATGTTCCAGAAAACCTTTCGGGGATAAAAGGTCATCGTTGTGCACCTCTACACCCCTTAGATTGTTTAAAAATAACATCATCAGTTATTGAAACGTATAAGGGGCTCCCTCAGGGCCAACTGGTACTCATCTAAATTGGTGTTGTTTTTTTCCACGATGATAAACACTGACTTCTCGCTATCATCTTCATTTACTGTGAACACAGTGGCTTTGTGTAAGCTGTCTAATGTTGTGACCATAGACAAGATTGCATGCAGTTTCCATCCAGTAATTCTGTACAGCTGTTTGAAGTTCACACAGAACCGTTTGACTTTTTCACTAAGAGTACGAGTGAACTAACTGTACAGGCTGTCGGTAACTTCAGTGATATCATACTTTAACACATCTCCTGGATCTGACTCGTTGCTTCCTCAACAGAGTGAGTTTAAAATGTCTTTTTAAGGGGAATTTTTCATTCAGCACTATTTTACAACATTCGTATGGTTCATCATCTCCGGTGAATAAACTCATCTATTCTTTCGTCAATTTAGTGGTGATAGGTGGTTTTTGAGCTTCAACTTCTTTTATTTTAGTAATTGCATATACCGTCGGCATCTTGTATCAGTAAGTGGATCTGCCTGTCTCAAAAAATCTACTTTAAGAATAGTTCCTCATAAACGAGTTGTCACATCTAATAGAATGGCGAATTTTATGGCCTCTTTGATAACTTCTGAAGCCCCATTTCTACTTCAGTCGAACCTCATACGTCAGTTAGTAGGGCATCTGCCTGAAAACCCGGTGGTCAATGATTCGAATCCCACAGCGGTCCAAATTTCCATTCCACCTTCAATCATCACCCAGTATCACTTATACCGGTCTTCAAACCCCATCGTTGCTATCTTAGATAGTCAGAACCATAATCAATATGATGTTCCCTATCTCATTTTAATTCAGTTAGATTTCGATTAGGATGAGAAATCCTGAATGGGCTGGTATCCAGTGTGAGTACATCAACAACTCACATGGTAGTCCTAGGGCAAAACCCTTGATGACTGAAGTGAAATCAAAAAATGTGGTCAGCAGTTGGGCTACATATCCCAGTTGGAAGAGCATGGGACCGGAAACCTTGTGGTCGCTGGTTCGAATTCGGCTACGCCCCAAATTCCCATTCCACTTTCAGTCATCACCCAGTATGTAAATAAATGTCTAAGTTGGCTCGGCCCAGTTAGTATGCATGAAGTAATCAAGTGAATAGTCACAGTTGTAGTAAATACACGAACGACAATAACGTGACGAAATTCATGAATAGGCCATGAATAGCGACTGTTCTCCGTTAGCGCCACCTCATACTTCACTGAAGTATTACAAAAGTACATAATTTATATATACAATAGCTTTCATGAACATATAAAATCATTAGTTCAATAACTGAATAGTTTACTCTAATTAGTCAGTTGTAGGGTAAAATTGTCCAATGAGGTTTTTCCTAACCACACAGTAACATGAAACAAAAACTAAAAATACTCCTATGTGTGCTCGTCTATCTGTGTATGAGTTTATTTGAATATGAACTGCGTGAGCTCATCTTTCTTTGCCTACAACCTTAAATGATGCGCAGCTGAAGATGTTAGGCGACATGAAGAAGGTCTTATGACACTTAGCTTCCATTCATGTTGGTAAGTGTCCGTAATGCGTGTCGACAACATTGAGAAGGAATTTCATTTTCTCTTGGAGACTTTACCTATAAGACTAGACTGTGGTCATAAATAGATGGGAAATGATCCATTTTTGAAGTTCTCTGTTGGAATGAACACTAATAGACTGAAAGGTGATGAGTCTTGGTGATTGACAATAGTGGTTAGCAATAGACGCTATGAAACAGGTTTCGCCCGACTTAGGACTCGTCAGTTGGATGTATCTACCCTTCAGTTGGTCATGTTGTTCCTGTGCTTGGACTGGAGCCTGGCGCCATCTGATTCGAACAAGTAAACTTTATTCACTGGGTTACCTAGTCACGACGGGATAAAACATACAAGATCGTATAAAAATATACTCCTCACTCAAGAAGTGGCCTAGCTGATGATGCTCTGGTGTTTAAGTAATCGGTATCAGGTACAAGTCTTGGTGGGAAGGGCATCGCTCACTAGGAGGCAGATGCATCCAGTTGACGAGTCCCTAGCTCACCACTATCCACAATCAATATCAAATTCAAACACAGATGATGTCGAGACATCCACACAGAAACCCATATGTCAGTAGAGATCGATAACTTTGGGTCCAATTAACGATGGGGTAACATAAATAACAACATATAGGACAGAGAGAACGGTGTGCAAACACGTAAAGAAGCTGAGAAGCAATTGAAACGATTATTTTCTATAATGAACCAGTAAACTCTTTTATGGTCGACCGGATCATGTGAGAAACTGTGAGGATAGAGAAGAGGGGCATACGCTGACTGTTTGACAGATGAAAACACTCCAGAAGAAGATTTCGAGTTCACCCATGATGATTTATGTCTGATGTCTTGTCCCACAAATTCAAAGATCTACAGGCGAAAACCAACAAGTTGGCAGGAGAGGAGAGGAGAGGAGAGGAGAGGAGAGGAGAGGAGAGGAGAGGAGAGGAGAGGAGAGGAGAGGAGAGGAGAGGAGAGGAGAGGAGAGGAGAGGAGAGGAGAGGAGAGGAGAGGAGAGGAGAGGAGAGGCAAGACAAGACGAGACGAGGTGAAGCGAAGCAAGGCAACGAAGGAAGACACGACTTCCATCAGATGAACGTAGAGAAGACAGAGGTGATGGAGATACCCGATCAACAACAACATTAATAACAACAACAACGAACACCTATCGCCGTGAAGAGGAGAAATGTGAAGGAGGTTGTCTTTTTCACGTAACTACCTAGGCAACATCATTCCCTTTCAACTGCAGGCAGAACAGGCACAGATGACGATGTCATAGCTAGTATGAGGAAAGCCCGACCCTTTTTCCCACTTTTAGCTAAATGATATCGAAAAGTTTTTATTTATTACTGAATAGAAATCACCTGAATTTGTTCATTCTTTCTTACTGAAACAGCCAGTAGGCAGCTTTTCCTCCAGTCATTGAGTAAAAGTATCGAGTTCTGGAGTCTATTAACGACTTGCCTAGTGACTTTGAACAGTTGATCACGCCTTAGAACCAATAAAAATGCCAAAACTGTCCACTATGTATGATCATCTTACAGCGTTTACTAATCCTGAGTATTTCTTTAAGTGTTCGTAATAAAAACCTGAGAGCAATGGATAGTTGTATTGTCCCAGCACAGAGCCCCATATCAGTGGGTGGATGGCTAACACATTCACTGTGAAAATTGGAGGTCCTGAGTTCGACCCCTTCTGGGATTGTGGGAGCACACTGCTGAAGAATGCTATACTAGGATGAAAACCCATTCTCAGATCCTTTCTGCTGCTTTACACCTTTGTCTAATTTGCTATCACACCTGCTCTTTTTATACTACTGTGAAGTGTGTAGCAGCTTAGAGTGATGTTTATGTGTGCGAGGTTCTGCGTTGACTGTGTTTATTATCTGTCTGTCTCTTTTCAACTCCAGAACTACGAGTTACTTTTCAACTCCAATACCTTTGAAGGTAAACATTGAAGCTGAATACCTAACGCTGTGGTGACTGGCTTCAGTTTCTCAACTTTACAAGTGTATCCTTTTTTGGATAGTACCATACCCATTGCTTATATGGAGAATCTTCAAAATCGACCAAATTCGGCAATCATTACTCACTGGTCGTTTCAAGGTCATTGAAGAGTCATTCATAGACAGCAGAATTCTATCTTTTAAATCTAGAAACTCTAATCCTAACACCTGTTGTGATAAGCAATGACATTCTTCCTTCCTGTGAAATTCTGAAATCTGATCGGTTATTTCAACGTGACCTTCAGGGTCACGTCTAAGATGCTAACATTTCAGAATAGTATACTCAACTTAAGCAGAAGTGCGCATCGCGAAGTCACTGGGGTGGTTTTATAAGGCCAAGTAGATATCAGCTCTATTCTATGATGCCAAATCTTCGAAGCATGCCTATCAGCTGACAATTGCTTGTTGAAGAAAGACTTTGAAGTAAGAAAATCTCCAAGTTGATAATTTTGTTATAAGCGTCA